ATCTATTTCACAAAAGAAAGTCACATTAAAATTGAAGTACAAGATATCAAAATAAGCTCTTAAGATATTCAAAGAAAAATTACAAGAAATACTCAAGAAAGTTTGCATATACACACACTAAATTGAAATTTAAAAATAATAATTAATAGATAAACTCAAAACTGAAACATTATGTTGAGATATACACAGTTTGACTAGACACAAAAGCAAGATATATTAAAAATGATGATAAGTAAATTTGAAAAAAATAGCACTTCTATACACTTACCCAATAGCAAGCAGTGAGTTCAGCTCTTTTCACTACAACTCCATCAGCAGATCTTCCATAGTGGTAGTTTTTTATTAGTTGTGTGCTGTAGTAGCCCTGAGGATTTCACATAATTTGGTCAGGGCCCACTCATTGAACAATTCAATCAAAGTTCCTAGCACTAATCTTACCAAAAAACACCAAATGAACTGTAGTGTGAGTTTCTTTAATTCACTTATTCTTTCATGAAAATAACAGGTGCATTTATTTGTCAAACAATGTCAAAAATCTCAATTAACCACATATCACAAGGAATTAACATATAGATCAAATCTTTTATTTCAATTCACCTGTTGCTTAACTCTTGTGTACTTTGAATAATTGATCCGTTTGTGTTATTCAACATTCATGAGTGGCTTTATGTAACTTTCATACACAAGATCCCACACTGTCACGTACACTAGTAGTTTAAATCAGACTGCCTCCAGCTTGCATGCTTTACTGGATTAAATTCTTGGATTATTTTCAGCAAGCACTGTAGTATTGTAGGGTATTACAGTATATGAGCTTTAAACTAAATACATTTTCTTTTCAGGCATCATGAAATAAATAATCACAGAATTCAACCAAATTGAGACTTTTCAGCTAAAATAATAACATTTGTGCTGTTACTAAAGTATGTATATATATCAATACATTAAGAGGAAACACAACTCCCTCATTACATTTGGAAAAGTCGTAACTTCTTCAGGTTTCACTTGACATGCATTTTTGAATTATTTACATTATTGTATGTGGTAATATTGTAAATACTGTGAAAAAGCAGGATATGTAATTCACCAAAACATTAAGGAACTGACTAAAACATTCTGCTGTTCATGAACAAATTTTCCTCAATTTTTTTCTAGGGGTAAAATATGTTTTAAATACTTAATATCCTTAACTTAAGATGTTTTCATATTCATCTATAACAGATCTGTCAAGACTTCTAGTAATGTACATTTAGCAAGTCCAACAACTTTCCAAATATATTCCTTAACTTAAGATGTTTTCATATGCATCTATAACAGATCTGTCAAGCTAGTAATGTACATTTAGCAAGTCCAACAACTTTCCAAAGTTGGACTTGCTAAATGTACATTACTAGAAGTCTTGACAGATCTGTTATAGATGCATATGAAAACATCTTAAGTTAAGGAATATAAACTTTCCAAATATATTCTTTAACTTAAGATGTTTTCATATGCATCTATAACAGATCTGTCAACTAGTAATGTACATTTAGCAAGTCCAACAACTTTCCAAATATATTCTTTAACTTAAGATGTTTTCATATGCATCTATAACAGATCTGTCAAGACTTCTAGTAATGTACATTTAGCAAGTCCAACAACTTTCCAAATATATTCATTTTCTTCTTCAGTGGGCAATATAGTTTTAATAGTTTTGCAATTTTTTCTCTGTAGCCTTTGAACTGTTCAGGAATTTATTATGGCCAAAGATAAAACTCAAATATGTTGAACAGAGTAGGGTCCTCCTCCAAAATATGTAATAAATCTCTTAAAGGGAGAATTTGGTTGATAACAACAGCTTATCAGTGTCAGCATATATTTGCTCTTGTTGTGTCATGGTGTCTTTGTCTTAGTATAGTCACTTCCATCCTTTTAAATTTATTTTCAATTTCACTTTTTGCCGTATCCTCTTTTCATGTTAACAAACATTTTTCAATTCATTCACACTTTTTTCTACTACAGAAATCAGACTTTTCTTCTGTTGAAAAAGGACTAAAACTTCAGCACATTTGTCCAGTTTATCATGAAGGGTAAAACTTCTCTGTTCTCAACCCACTTATCTGGACCCTTGCTTTTTGTGCATTGCCATCTTTACTTGTGATAGCAATATCTTGCACATGTATCTGTGTTAACTCAGAGTTATCAAGGAGAACTTTCAGTGCTATATTCTGACTTGCTACCTAGCATGTTTGTTGAGCACCATCATAGTACTTTAATTTGAAACTGCAATTTCATAAAGTTTGTTGTATTTTAGTGAATGATAATGCAGTTTGAATATGCTGTTCAAGATGTTCTCAAATTCATCTAGATAACTTTTTCTTGCACCACAACCCGCTAGCTCTAACTTGTGTGCAATCCAATGAACCACTGCAATAAAATTGTCAAATTTCTTATTTTCTTCTAAATGTTCATTTGCTGTGTCCATAAGTAATTTCACAGCACTTGACATTTTCTCGAGATTCATAGCTACCTCCTGTATTTTTTCTAAGACTTTCTGATGTGCTTCCCACAGATTCAAGCGCCTTTAGAATTTTCTCTTTTACTCCAACTGCATGTCCATGATCAGGTGCCAGGGGGGATCCAAGCCAAAACAGGGCTCAGAGGGCCCTGTTAAACTTAAGAGTTGCTGACAAGGGGAGACATGTACAATTTAATTTGTTTGATTTAAAGGGCAGTTGCACTATTCTGTTAAGTTAATGATGTAAACTAGCCAGAATCATAACTTCAGTTATAGTAAAATGAATTCAGGGGTCTCAGTTACTTTTTATGTGGGTAGCCTATCTTTTGTAGTTACGCCAGTTGTTGCAAGATACAAGAAAAGTGTTGAAATTTGAAAATCCTGCGTACAGTGAAAGCCACTGGCACATGATGGATAGTCCATTGTGAGAGAGCATTATATGCAGTGAACAAATACATTCCTACTCCTAGTTAAGCATTTGGAATAAATTATAATGCATGAACCCACTAGTGACAATGGAGCTAAGGCAAAAGGGTTTCCTCAACATTTTGAAATCCCTCCTACACCTGATCTTCCTACTTCCATTGTACAGAGTACTTGTAACATTTTGCTACTTTTTGCAGAGAAATGATGTTTCAATATAAGTGTTGCTGTTAAACATAAAGTCCACTGAGGAACATTTTCAGTAAATGATTATTTTTGAAAACACTATGGAGAATACAACAGTGAATTCACCCAATACAGAGGAATATGACTTGTAGGAAGTATTCAACAAAAGCAAACAAGAGCTTATGGAACCCAACTATTCCACACACAAATCAAGTCACTCACACATTCAGTTTAAAAAATACTGGATGGTTTTGATAGTATATTTTCAGGTACTAGTGGTGATCCAGGCATCCAGCATATTCAACCTATCCAATTGGCATGTAGATGTAGAAGCATTTAGGGTTAATGGTCAGGAACAACTTGAAAATTACATTAAATAAATGCTGGATAGTCATACGAAAGAATGGGACAACACCGTAAGCTATATAAATTTGGGGAAAAGGATTCTCAGCAATGTTAGGGACAGGTGGCTAAATATATTCCTTGTTGTGAAGTTGATTTTAGTACTGCCAATCAGTACTGTGGAATGTGAATGTGGATTCAGTCTGATGAAAAGAATAAAATTGGACTGGAGATCCATACTTGAACCAAGCACAATCTGCAATCTTATGCACACATACTGGACTGCAACCCTGACTCTGTCATATTAAGATGACTCAGCTGGGAGGGAAGGTAGGCCATGTGTAAGGCCTTGGAAGGAATTCAAGGGAGCCCCTACTTCACCTGAGTCTGCAGATGATTCACCTTGCCTGGCTTGGCAGATGAACCTGCTTAAATTTTAGATTCAGAGTACAGTGAATAATATGAAGTTTTGACACAAGGCTATGAAAAAGGTAGAACAGTGATTATCATTTGTGTAACATTCGTTGCATCTGTCATTCTTGAAGTTTTTCATACAGTTTGGTTTCTTTTGATCAGTTTTTTCAATGTTTGATAAATAACTACTTCAAAATAATAAAAGTATTCATTCTGTTACTGGAAATCTTGTAACTCTTAAAATATGGTACAAATTAAGTTACTTCTGCTGAATCTGCTGTGGACAAGTTAACTATGATGGTTCAAGTGAAAATAATTCAATTTGTGCTTGAATTGGTAAAAAAAGTACATAGCTAGACAATTTAAATACTTATTAAAAGGTTAGAAAATGTTAAAGCTATATATTCTTCTCCTTTCTTGAAACTAGTGTTCATCTATTTTCTAAAACCAACATTTAACAATACTTTCCAGAATACCCATCAAAATATGGGGCAGAAGGGTTAAAAAAGTCATTGGTTGAAATATTTCAGTCAATAACTATAACATTGTATTTAAAACTACAAGTGCCCACTGTCAATAACATAAATGAGTTATATGCATAGAATTAAGAGTGTGACTCAATGTAAAATATTCATCATGATAGATTTAGCACTATTCATTCATGAAAATATTATGAAAAAACCTTTAAACTGACAAGCAGAGGAATGAATACATTTAATTTAATACCTTTAACCAGCATACAGAAATTACAAAATAAATGTTAATAAAATATGCATCAAAAGAAGATTCTAAATCTGAAGTTTATTCCTGTATTTTTTAGGTGATTTGAAAGGAGAGATCAGAATAATTTATTTGTAGAACAAAATTAGAAATGATTTAATTTCCTGTTAATTTTTTTAACAACAATACCCATTATACACACACACATTCTGACAAATCTAGGGATATTTTTGTTGATGAGTATCTTTTCTCACCCATTATACACACACACACACACACATTCTGACAAATCTAGGGATATTTTTGTTGATCTTTGCTCAAAGATTATATGAGAAAGAATTTTATTGTTATGTGAATTAGTTTTATTTGTCTTCTTGTGGAGTAGAGCATTTATTAAGACATTTTTTTTCTTCTTAAGACTTTTTCCAGGTACTTATCATATAGAAAAGGCAACAACGAACTGTTGCTTTTTATTCTTAAACAGCTGGTGCATGAACAAGTGGCTTTCTTACGTAGTCGATATGGCACAGATGTTGATGTTGTAGAAATTTCAGAGAAGGACCTAGGTGACAAAGTATGTTGTTTTCTTTCCATTGAGCTCTATATATATAATTGTGTATTAATTCTTTGAAAGCATTATCTTCTCTTAACTATTATGGCTGAAATTTTGAAGTGTTTTATTATTTTTAAGCATATTTATGAATTTTTGTTTTAATAAGAAAAAAACTTGTTATTAATGTTAAATTCCTGTTCCAGTCTTAAGCTAATTACTGGGTGTTTTCTCTGACTTAATATCATTTTTTATTTGTCATATGATGTGAGTGAACAACAGTTGTTATGAAATTTGTAAAGAAAACTCCCTTCACAGGCATACACACAGAACTTGACACTGTTACTTGTTATTATGTTTTCTTTGCAAGTATGCATAATATTTATTGGTCAAACAATAGACATTATTATAATTAACAAAGCATTTTCAGAGTAGGTAAAATTATAGAAAATAGTTAATATATAAATATATATACAGCAGAGAAAAATGTTATATAATTTTCAAGGGCAAACTATCTCTTTCTTTAGTCAGTAAGCATGAAATACTAATGCATCTTAAGTGTTAAAGTTGACACTGGTCTGTTTGAATGTTGATTAATATCCCAAAATTTTTTGTGCTTTTTTTAGATGATTGATTTTACAAAGATCCAGCTTTTTCTACATTATAACTGAAACAAAAGTTATTAGCCATTGGCTAAGTTGGATTAATTTTAATTTCATTTATCATTTTTAAGGAGACATTTTATGTAAAGTTGTTAATAAGTTCATCTTTTCAACTTTTGATCGTGCCTATGTTTGAACTACAATATTACGTTAAAACTATTGTAGCTCGTTTTAAATAAATTGCATTAACAAACTAATTTTTCATTCTTTTGATAAAAAAATTGGCATGACTGTATTAATCTTAGTGTCTAAATATGTATTTATACTTTCATACTTCTATTTTTCTTTTTTATTTCTAGGCAAGACAAATTAATATCCACAATCTGCGACCCTTCTTTGAAAGTGACATTTTTCAAGCCCACAATTTTACACATGATCCTAAGAGAAAACTAATTATTCAGACTTTTTAATATTGAAGAAGAAGCCATTCAAAGATAGCATTGTGAAATAATGTTGCTCTGTAAACTTTTGTATTTATCAAAACAATTTTGTATGTACTGTTTTACTTGCATTACTAAAACATGAAAATTTGTTTGAAATGTAAGGAATAAAAATTAAATTCTTGTAAGAATTTTTGGTTCAATGTGGTAAGTTTCTGGTTTTAAGAAATTAATCCTTTGAGCTGTCAATAAATGAATCTCATTTTACTTTGCATGGATACTGTGAAAGACATTAAAAAAAAAATTAGGAACTTAAATTCTTAAATCTGCTATTAGAGATACTTTCATATTTAGTTCATGGTCTCAAAAAACAACCATGCTTTATTATTGGTTAGATAGTATGTCTGTTAGAAAAATTATTTAGTTGGTACACTTAGTTATCTTTGAAATACATTTTGACCATCATTTATATGTGTTTAATTGGTTATTGTTTTATTATATCTGTTTCCCTGGTTTTATAGATTTCTTGTCAGTCATGTAACAATAATGTATCTGTTACAAATGCCTGTCTATAATAAGAAACTTTGTCAATCTACCCACCTAGTATCCAGCTAATCAGTAAATTTTGTATCCCAGGTTTTACAAAATCCAAGCATATTCAAAATATCTTCAAAAGTCGCCTTGCAAAAGTTTTGAGCTATCAACCAAAATCATTCCATAAAATGTACAAAATCCTAAAGTGAAAATCAAGTTGTATAGCTACACATACATGTTAGGTTTTGTTTGTTTTTTTGCAGTTGTATTACATGTTTAGCCAGCTGTTTGTTAGTTAATGAAGCGTGTCTCTCACATCTGTAGGTCTCATGTACACATAGTCCATTCAGTGTGGTGCTTTGTAGTTCATCCTGTGTTGTTCTGTGACATTACTGTTCAGTTAACACAAAGATGTAATATTTTGTTGAAGTTACACCAGTCCATATTTTAATACAGATTGTTATCTATATAAATATAATATGTCTGTTGTATGTCCATGTAACTTCTTTGCAGGGTGTGGATGGATCTTCACCAGATATGGGCAGAGTTTCATTTTGTCCATGGGGAGATACATATAAATTTTCAGTTTTGCATTTTGCGGTTTCACTGGTGTTTTCACGTTTTCTACCACTACTTTGTCCCCCTGTTGATGGATCTTCACCAAATTTGGCATGAAGTTGTGTTGGATCCATGCAGAGATTCATGCAAATTTGTGCTTTCACATTTTTTGTTTTGCATTTTGTGTGGGCATTTTTGTGTTATTTAAAATTACACATCAGGGAAGAAACTTTTTATGTCCTAAGATACCCAACCTTTCATTAATCATGAATTTGCATAAGTTCATTTAACTTGAGCCCCCCAGTGGCACAGCGGTATGTCTACGGACTTACAACGCTAAAAGCCGGGTTTCGATACCCGTGGTGGGCAGAGCACAGATAGCCCTTGTGTAGCTTTGTGCATAATTAAAAACAATCATTTAACTTGAGAACAAGTCTAAAGTAAAGAAGTAAACGTTGTGTTGTGCAGATATCACACATTCCATATAATAACAAAATACTTTCATTTTTCAAATATTGCTAATTCAGAATAATAAAAAAACGTTTTGCCTAAATAGGCTAAAATTAACCCCAAGTGTTATTCTGTATGGCAGGACTCAGTAGAAGGTAGTGTATATTATTTCTTGGAGAAATTGTATTGTAACCAACACCACCTTTTGAACAAGGATATTTTATGTGTTTCACATTGGGTTTTATAACTTTATAAGTTTTATAACTTTATTATGAATTTGTAAGCTCTATAGAGCCCCATTTCAACTTTCAAAGAGCTAAAATGTATCTGTTAAATGCTATATCATTGTCTTTTTGTTTGTTAGAAATACATAGTTACCTTTGACTGAGTGTTTTCATATTTTTATCTTAAATTAAATCCACTTCATTTCAAACAATTTTATTTCTATTCACTTACACTAGCATTGATCACATCTTTTTCTCTTTTTATTCATTTAACTGGTGACACTTTTATTTTTATCTAGTAGATCTTCCAGATATTTTATCAGGCAAATTACACGCTTTTGCATCAGAGACTGATGTCTAGTCTTTGCAAAAGTGGTAGTTGGTTGTCTTTTTTTTTTTCCTTTCAGTTATTGGTTAAGATGATTCATGTTAAAACTTAATTTTAAATTTCAAATCACTTGGGATAGCTGAAGGGAAAAGAGAGAAGGTATGACAGCTGTTATGGCTGCTTTTCTATAACTTTACTCCTAAAATATTCAAAGTCTATATAATAAGATTCTATGTATGTCATGTCATTTCTCCTAAACCACTAGTCACAATGACTTCTAACTACGAATCATCTCTCTTCCGAGGTTTCCACAGAGATACAAATTTTCACCTCACCCTTTGGGAAAACCAGGAATTTCCCCCAAATCCCTTCTCATAACCTGGTAAACTCAATTTCTAAGTGGTGCCAAATGAATTGTTTTGGCTCCGAGGTTTGCACAAAGGTAAAACTTTTCACCTGATCCCTTAGGAAACCCAGTATTTTATGAAAAGACTTTAGCGGGTATTCTCCTAAAGCATTGATTCACATTAGAGCTGGTAAGTAAGTAAACCTACTAATTACTGTTCATAAATTGTTTAAAGAAATTAAACTTGCATTATAGTAGCAATGATCAGGCATTAAATTTGCATTATAGTGGCCCTATAAATGTGGGTCATGGGTTCACTAGTTTTTATAATATTTATCAACTTTAGTTATCTGTAATAATTCAGTCTTGATCACTGTAAATCTACATTTCTTTAGTAAACACTAAACTTTGATTATCTCTATATTCTGATGTTTTGCAGTAATTTTCTGCAACTGGCCCCTCACATGTTGCCAGCTTGACTTGTTCATGAGAATACAGAACAGTAATTTTGCAGTCTGTGTGTACTTGGTTAGAGAAGTGTTATTTCTTTGTTTTCTTGTTTATGTGTATGTTTGCATTTTTTTATCACTTCTTGTATTTTACTGGTTGCTATATTGTACATCCTTGATAGAGAACAGTTCTGTCTCATTTTCATGCAGTAATGTTGAGCTTCATCTATTGTTTACTTCATGTGATTTTGGAAACTTTTAATATTGCTGAACAAAAACTGTAACAAACATCTGTTAAATAGTTTTATTTAATGTTAAAAAAATTTCATATAATTCTTTACTCCTTGTATTTCATCATTCAGTCTATTTTTTGTTTCTTTTTTTCATATTTTAAACTTTATCTCAAACACATGTTAACACATTGTTAGCTATTTCAATTTATTTTTCAAACTTCAGTAACCCACTTTCTAACTAGATCTAAGTGTTCCTTCCATTATTACACTTGTAATTTTAGTGCTCTCGTGTGGCATCTAAATGAACCAGATGAATGATGGCCAGCATGTTTTTATTTTGTTAATGGGCATTTGGTGTGGTGGAAAGAATAAGAAACTGATGGACTTTGAATGTTCTCCAGTGATATAACAAGTATTTTAGGAATTCTTTATTTGTCAGAATGTTTCACTATCAGTGAGACCAAGAATGAACACTAGCCACAAATAGCATAGCCATCTGTTGTTTTCACAAGACTGAGAGGTAATTAGCCAGCCCTAGTTCTGATGAAGTAAGCCAGATAATACTACACAACTTCAGTGTTTTGATATATACTGAGAATGATGGACTTGCATACTTTAAGAGTTGATATTTACTTGAAACCATACATCTAATCAATGGAGAAATAAGCATGAACATGCTTATAACCTCAGGAGGATCCCTGCTACATCAAATATCTGGGAATAGAATCTTCCATATAAGGTGTTTTCTTGATGATGTTGAAGGTGTATCACTACCATAAAAGTTCAAAGAGAAAAAAAAACTTTATTAAACAATCTTTGTCATGGTTAGTAGCCTAATCAATCAATTAAGCTTATTTACTATTTAGTTAATATTTATTATTATTATTAGATACTTATTACCAATTAGTTTTTATATCTTACATTATATCTGCTTGGCTAATACCATCTTCAGAGGAAATTCTGAAAAGAACTGCTTCTTCTTGTTAGAAAGGTAAGCGTGTTATCCACTAATCTGTATGAATAAACAGGAAGAAAATTTAAGTCACCAAGCTATATTCTCTTATGTCTGAAAACATACAAAGCAACGTGGCCCTGGGACTTGAGCTTCGGAAAGGAAAATGGGCCTCACCATACCCTAGAGTATTGGTGGATGAAGCCACTTCATTTTCTATGTACTAGGAAAATGTGTCATGAGAAATTTGATAAATGGCAAAGATTTGTGGGCTTGGGCATTTAGTGAAAATGATTCAGATCAAGTGTGCATCAGCAAAAAATGATGACTGTATGTTTTATCCTATACTGGTAGATACTTGTTTTGTCAAATGCAAATTTACTTTTTTATTCAGATTTGTCCCTTAGTAGTAAAACAGTAAGCCTAAATGTTTGTAACACTCAAATGTAAGTTGAATTCCCACAATGAACACAGTGTGAATAGGACATTGTCAGAATGATATGTTTTCTAAAACCTCCTATCATATAAGAATTGTAATCAATTTCCAATGATATTCCTCTTATTTTTACTCAATATAGAGCAATGGAGAGGAAAGAAGAGAGAAATTTAAAGTGTTTTTATACGATTAATCCCATCTCTTGCCAACTTGTTTTTTGCTTCCATGAAAAATAATGGCTAGACAATTACTCACAAAAGTGTTTAAACCTCTTTACTGTGGTAGATATGTTGATAATATCTTTACCATTAAAAAAAAATTGTGTTCGGGTTTCCCAATTGTTACATTACTTGAACAGTAGACACAACAGTATGAAGTTTACTGTTGAAAATCAAGAGGGTCGTAAACTGCCATTCTATTATAAATGATAATATGAAATTTATCATAAAACTTTTACAGGATTATGTTTTAATTTTGTAAGCTTCATTCTTATCATATTTAAAGAAAATTTACTTAAAATACTTTTCACTCTGCTTATGAAACATCTAGCACATATGATGGGTTTACATAAAGAATTTTTGAATATCAAAAAATTGTAGGTTAAAAATGATTTTCCATGTTATTTCATTGATATAGTACTTTGTTGTGGTTACATCTTTCAATTATGATGTACCAAAAACTCTTTATTTCTTAGTTTACGCTATATTGGAAAATATAATATTATTCTTTGATTATTAAAAATCAGCTGAAAAGTGTTATCCATAGGGTATGCCTGCAGACACTGTTGAGGTTTATTTTTAAACCTAATTGTTGCCTAGTTTCTTATTTTCTTTTTTAATTTAATGACCACATTCCATGTTATCTATCCTGTTTTGTTGTTTATAAACTTACTTGTTCCTGCTGTCAGCAGGGTTACATTGGTTCTAAGAGAAGAAAATTATGAACATGTGTAAAAAGAACATACTAACCTAAAAAGATCAGTTTAGTACCACATACTTGTACATGCCTAAGGTGAATGTTTGTTCTTGTTCATTTCGGTTTTTTAAGATCTTGGCTAAGGCCAAGGATTAACAAAGCCTGTGAAATAGCAAATTCTACATTTTTATGATTATGGTCTATTTATCGTTCATTTATTATTTCATTCTATCATTTAGTTTATCCATGAATTTTTAGTTGTATTAAAACGCTAACTCACCTTCTACATAAGTATTTGTATTTTGAGTATATATATATATATATATATAT